ACTTTTTAATTTGTTTAATTGTGGATATTTATATAATTTGGAGTCTAAAATTTGAACCAGTTTATTGAATTTTTTAGCACATTAATCTTGATTGATTTTTTAAATTCTGTGTGTATATAATTTTTGTTTTATTTTAATCTCATAAGAATATTATAATGTTTCATTTCAATAAATTTTATAACTGTTTGTTATATTATTATTGTAGTTTTTTCTTTATTTGCGTATTCATTAAATTGTGAAATACATATTTAAAATGGATGTATTTCAATAATTACGTGGATATTAAAAACAAAATGTAAATATGGCATTATATATACATATGTGTGTGTGTGGGGTCAGTAATATAACTTACTACACTAATATGAATTATTCTTTTTTTTTTTATATATATATACTTACATAATTTGGGACTTATGTATTTATTTCATTTAATTTTTTATTTTTATATATTTTAAAAATTTCAATTGAATATCTAACTGTAGTAATTTTGTTTATAAAGTTCAGCAAAAATTATGAAAAGAGATACGGATTTGTGATCATTCTCTCCATTAGGAAAGGGTGTCGGTGAATTCTACAATAATGTCGTCGTTAAATTCTAGATCGTTTTCTGCATCTTCATCCAAAGTTACTATGCGTAATTTCAATTTGCAATATGAGCCTGCTTTGTATTGCAAATGTGGGTTGAAATCTCCGTTATGCGTCGGTTGTGATAGTGGACGGAAATTCTTTGGTTGTCAACTGTGGAAGGTTAGATTACAAATCTTTATATAAAAATCATTTGGGTATGTGGTTAATTTATATGAGTATTTTAATATCACAGGAAAATGGTTGTGGATTTTTGGTATTTATTGATGATATTATGAAGAATGCTCAAGTTCAAGAAATCTCGGGCAATATTGATTATGAGGCAACACTAAATGTACTAAGAGACTTGAGTTCTATTTGTCAACAACTAAGAGATGATATGTCATTTGTGCAAATAGAGTGGTCGAGAGTTAAAATGTCAATGAGTGGTGCCACTCAAGTTGAAAAGGAAAGTTGGTCCAAGATGCTTACTGCTACTGTTGTGGTAGGTGTGGTTTTATTAGCAATGTTGCTCTGCTTTGGTACAAAAAAGAGTAATAATCTTAGTTTGCCTATTTTGTAATGTTGTTTAAAAAAAATAGTGTTGTAATGGCAAAATTAAGCTAATGAAGGCATACTTTGTTTGTTGTATTTAGTTTGTGGTTCTACATCTTTTAAAGATATAACAACCATTAATAGTTTTCATTACTCATGTTTTCGAGGTGCATGTTATGCTTTTGGTATACTTTGTATTGTTTTGAAACATTTTGTATTTCACACTACACATTAAATATTTGTTTATTTTCTTAAGATGTGTATTACTAATTCAATATTTAATTACAATATAGTTTACTTTTCATCCCGTGCATCGCACGGGTGCAATACTAGTTTAAACAATAACCAAATAGATGGCAGGCCAACATTCACTTAACACCACTTAGAAGGAGGGGGGGTGGGGGTGGGGGGGGGGGAGGGAGGGAGAGAGTTGAGTGTGATATATGAATTCAGAAAATGTCTTTCGAGCTAGTAAAAATCTTGAAAGATTATTTTCGTAAAAATGAGTATTTTTTTATCTAATATATTTTTTGTTGATAGCCAAACAATCAAAAACGAGTTGTGAAAGTCGTTTTCTGAATTTTATTAACCAAATTTGAAATTATTGTCCATAAAATTTGAATCCATAATTTTTTTGCTAAAAAAGTCAACTTTACAAAATATCTATAAATATTGAAGGTTTCCAGGTCAATCTTTGAGGGTAAGAATGAAGGTAGTGCCGCCCTTGCTGACGAATGAATTGAATAGTCCGTTGTGTGTTGGTGCGATGCGAAATGGCCAATGGGACACCACTGGAAATGAAACCCTTTGAATAATTGGTTGCTTCCACTAATTCAAAATCATCCTAAGTCACAAAACCTTTTTTTTTTTTTTTTTTTGACTAATTTTTAATCATCCAAAGTGACAAACGTTGGAGAATCTTCCTAGGTTGCTCCTTGTCGTTTCCATCACCCTCCCTCCACCAATTTTTAGCGGTCCACTAAACGAATCTCTATTTTTTTTTTTGGGGGGGGGGGGGGGGGGGGAGGGAGAGTATAAATGAATCTTTAATTAACTAATTAGTTTTTGTTTGATAACACACTCTTTTAATCTGTTAATAAGAATCATAATATTGAAATGAATCTTATTCATGACGGATAAGCTAGGACTTCAAAATGTGAGAAAATGGTCTCTTATGAGTTCTAACTTCTAAGGTACTCTAATTCTTAAAATTTGAACAAGATTAGTCAGGATGTATGTGAGGTGGTCTTTATTGACTAGTATATAAAAAATATATATGTATTTTCTTTGTCTCATTTTACTTGTCATATTTACTATTTATTAGTTAAACTAACTCTGTTCTTTAGGGGTGTGCAAACTTCGGATAATTTTCGGTTAACCGACCGAACCGACAAAGTTCGGTTAACCGTTTTCGAACCGAACTTTTTCGATTCAGTTAATGGTTAAAGGAATTTTAAAACTTCGGTTAACGTTTAATTCGGTTCGAAAGGTCGGTTAACCGAATTAACCAAACGGTTAACCAAAGTTTTTAATATATATAAAAATAATAATATAAATATAAATATTAATATGAAGTTAGGGATCTTTGGAGTTTATAATTCATGTTTTTTATATTTTGTTATGAATTTATTATGATATGTATTTTATTTTAATTGAATTTATTATTTTAGGTATTATTTTTAGAATTTCAAATTTTAACGTTAAAAAGTTCGGTTAATCGGTTAACCGACCGATTAACCGAAAAAATTTTCGGTTCGGTGAATTCGGTAGAGCAAACTTCGGTTCGGTTAACGGTTCAAGGAAAAAAAAATTGGTTAATTCGGTTCGGTTAAAACGGTTCGGTTAACCGATTGAACACCCCTTGTTCTTTGCTTATGTTTTTTAATATTTTTAATTATATTTATAAAAAATTTGTGTTTAGTAGTACTTTTAATGAAATTTTTAAATATATAAATTTTATATACTAATAATAAACTTAACGCTATTAAAAATTGAATAAAAAATAACCTCAATCAAGTCTTGTTAACCAAACAAAACATATAAAATGGGAAAGGTAAAGAATTAATTTTATGGTGCGTTCTGCAGGGTGAAGCTCACCCTAACCGATAAAAGACTACAACGAAATAAAACTAATTTAGAGTTACCAAGTCAGTTGACCTGTCAATTTGGTGAGATTGCCCCAATATTTCATTTTTCTTGTGATTAAAGAAGCTAATTGATTTGGCTGGTTAAGGAGTTAGGCCATTATTATTAAAATTATTAGTTGTATACAATATGTTTTTTTTGTTTGAATTTTGAAAAAAAATAGTCACAAAAATTGATATATTGTTTTTTTCCAGTTCAACCAATTTGTTATGCGGAGTAACTACTCTTATTTTTAAATTGATATATAAAGCATCTAACTTTTAAGTTTTATTATTTATATAACTTATCTAACCTTTTTAAAAATAGGTTCAACACTCTCAGTCTCTCACACAATATTATATTCCCGTAAAGAAAATTATGAATAATGAAGTAATTGTACCCAACACTTTTAAAGAAAATATTAATGGTAAACAAATAAAAATAATACAATTGTACAAAATAATATTTGTTTTTCTTTTGGGTGACAAAGATAAAATTACAATAACCTTAAAAAAAAATGAAAATTGCAATAACTATTCGAGAGTGCGCATTCAGTAAATCTTGTTCCTAAATAATTGCTTACCCTTTTTCAAAATTATTTTTGTGTAAGAAAGATAGGTTAACATTATATATATATATATATATATATATATATATATATATATATATATATATATATATATATATATATATAGAGAGAGAGAGACTTGAGTTCAAATGAGGACTACTATATTATAGAGGACTGTGCAAACTGCTGTAGTCGTGTGTCATTAGCCTGTATGTCGTGTGTCTGGCCTAATGTAGTCGTGCGCCACTTGTTTGTATGTCGTGTGCATATGTTTGTTAATTAATAGAGTTTGAGTTTGACATCTGATATTTACCTGTATTCTTGTGTATCATTTCGTATTAAATTATTTGCATGATGCTAATTTGTTGTGTGTCCATAATCAATCTCTATATATTGTGGTCCTGATATGAACTCAACCATATATATATATATATATATATATATATATATATATATATATATATATATAATTGCTTCCACACTCAAATTATGGTCCGACTTTCTATAAAGAAGGTTTCTCGACCTTTGTTTCTCCGTTCACAACATTTTATTAATCTTTAAAGCAGTACTTTTCCTTTTTTTTTTTTTTTTTTTTTTTTTTTTTTTTTTTTTTTTTTTTAATCCTCTTAGTATAGAGTAGGAATAAAGTATGTATAGATCACAACGTATTCGTTTAGTAACAAAGGGATTATAAGTTTGATTTCCATTTCCAGGGGAGCGGCCTATTATATTTGTTTTAATTTCTTGATTAGAGCTGATTAGCTATGAAAAATTCAAGTTTACTAATAATTTTATTGTTCTTTATCAGTTAGAATTACAGTGCAGAGTTTATCCAAACCCCGTACATACCTATAGGAGATAATTCTTATATTTGAATTCTACTACATATACTTCTAAATTTTATTATATATACTTCTAAATTTTACTTCCTCACTTTTACTTCCATGACATGATAAACAAGAATTAGATATATATAATTATACATTCATCATGTAAGTCGCAGAAAAAGTGTATATTAAAAATTTGTGAAAAAGAATAAAAGTTGAAAGTAAAAAATTGGAGTGCAGGTAGTATTTTCCTATCACATTGTTCCCCAAGTATAGGTCTGCTGAATTGGGATTAACTATTAATAAGTCAAAGCACATGTAACGACAAATATAATTCTACATGACAAATAAACCACCACAATACAATCATATGCCTCAAACTCCCAAATACTATTCTTTAGATTTTAGTCAAAAGCTGACTCCTCGTGGGAGATTCTTCTCCACACTACAAAAGCCATCCCCATTCCGCCATTTTTCTTCAATTCTTCGTCTCAAGAACCAAGAAACTAAACACACAACTTTTTATAGTTTTTTTTTTTTTTTTTCAGCTTTGTTCTTCAACTCCCACCTCCGCTTTTCTCAACAATCCTAATTAAGAGAGAAAAGAAAAACACAATGTTGGGGAAGAAGATTGATTCAGTGAAGAAATTGGGTAGGAAGGCTAGAGTGATGAGGAGCAGTTCCGGGCATGAAGAATCGCAGTTTCAGGAGTACTTGCTCAAGGGTGGTCGGGAAAAAGGAGGGGCTCCGGCCGGCGGAAAGACGGCGGCGGCGGGGACTTTCGCGGTGTACGTAGGCGAGGAACGGCAGCGCTTCGTCGTCCCGACCAGCTACCTCTCCCATCCGCTCTTCAAGATTTTGCTGGAGAAGGCGTGTGATGAGTTTGGGTTTGCGCAGAGAGGTGGGCTGGCGGTGCCGTGCAGCGTGGCTGCTTTCCGGGAAGTGGTGAGCGCTGTGGAATGCTGCAATGGGCAGTTTTGTTTTGGTGAACTTGTATAGAATTTTTTGGGCACGGGTTGATTAGGCTAAAAAAGTTATGAATGCGGGTTTTGTCCCGGGGTGAAGAGTACAATTTTTATTTTTTTTTCAATCCCTGTTGAAGTTTCTTGAGATTAGGGTGAAGTGCAGCGGTAGGAAAGGATGTGCATACACCATGCTTGTAAATGGTCATTTTCATGTGGCTTCCTTGATTAGGAAACACTACCTCTCTTGTCTTGTAATAGGGATGATAGTTAGGGATGGTTTTGGTACAATCCAAAAATTCAATTTATTTGGTTCCCGAAATTAGAGCAATTTTTGAAACGTTTATTAGGTGTTTGATAGAGGAGTTTTTTGCATTTTTGGTCCTACGACTATACTGACATTATTCAGAATTGATCAATGACTTTCAAACTTTGCAATATTAGTCCACGACTATTGTTTTTGTTGCAAAAATGATCCTTCCAACCAATTTTCCGTAATTTTTCACTGGAGAAAAAAAATTCTCCATTTCAAGATAGGATAAAATAGACATTTATATTGCCCTTGCAATCTCGGACAGCTGTTGACCTCTTATTCTGACCAAACTATGAAAAAATCAAACAAAAAAAACCCAATAGATTGGTTCGTCTCTGGCAATTGGGCAATTGTGTTTTTTTTTTTCGCAGTTTGGCCAGAATAAGAGGTCAACGTCAGTGCGTGATTGTAAGGGCAATGTAAATGTCTATTTTATCCCTGCTTGAAATGGAGAATTTTTTTCTCCGGCGAAAAATTGACGAAAAATTGATCGGAAGGACCATTTTTGCAACAAAAACAATAGTTGTGGACCAATATTGCAAAGTTTGAAAATCGCGGATCAATCCTGATAGTGCTACTATAGTCGTGGGACCAAAAGTACAAAAAACTCTTTGATAGAGTGTAGTTACGTTAGTTGCAATTCAATTGTGGAATTGGAATCCATACCGCTCTCCATATGAATTGCAATTCAACATGAAATTTTAAGGAAAAAAAATAAAAATCCTTTTTGTCCTTTATTGTTGTTGTTATTACATAATGATATTTTAGTCTTTAATTTCTATCACATCTTCCATTCTCATTCTCAATAATTTTATTTCTCCCTACCAAACAATTTAATTTGAATTCTTACTTTATTCTCATCTTATTTTTCTCTCACTGAATTACAATTCATTTCCACCCTAATTCCCTCCTTGGCCAATTATATCGTGCACCGCGGTGCATAATGGATTATACACCGCGCGTTAGATACTACAGTGTGTCTAAACCGACACTGTCAAAACGACGTCGTTTTATTTAATGAAAAGAAACAAAATCTTCGCAAAAAATAACTTTGTTCTTCAGTTTCATTTTGTATACACTGCAGTTTCAGTTCAACACAACTACAATTTCATTTCGATATAACTACAGTTTCATTCAATATTTATACACTCAAATATGTGAAAATGTTATTTAATTTTATTTTATATACACTATAATTTCTTTAAAACACAACTACATGATCATTTGAATATAATTACAGCTTCATTGTACAATATACACTCAAATATGTGAAACGTTATTCAGTTTCATTTTATATATACTGTAGTTTCATTTCACCACAACTACAGTACAATTTTGATATAACTGTAGTTTCGTTTAATAATATAAAAATAATGCGCGAGCCAGTGTCGGTTTAGACACACTGTAGTGTCTGACACGCGGTGCATAATCGATTATGCACCGCGGTGCACGATATAACGACCCTCCCTCCTTCCAACCAAACGTCATGTTAAGGAAAAAATGTTAAATAGACCACTAAATTTATTGATTTTGTGCAATTGAGCCTTTGGACTTAAAAATGGCAAATTATTATGTGGGCCATGATCCACACAATAATGCTATGTGGACCATAACAAAAAGTACATTTCTAATAAATTTAAAATACATTAGTTATGTACTGAATGTACATTATACAAAATAATGTACTTTTAAAAAAATATACTTTTAATACTCAAATAATGTACTTTTTCTGAATACAATGTACATTTTTAGTATACGAAAAGTAAATTATTTGTGTACTGAATATATATTATTTGATAGTATGGTCTACACAGATATGCGTAGATCATGGTCCACAGAAAATGATTGCTTAAAAGTGCGAACTTTAACAATTAATGAAGTAAAATATGTGCAATTTGGAATGTTATTTTAAAAAATAAATTTCTAATAGAATCCGATCATATTACTTACATGATATGTAAAGATTATAAACTGTACTTCATTGATGTAAAATAACAAGCTATAAATAGTATACAAGTGAGGGAGAATAGTAGGAGGTTGTAACAACTTGTTCAAACACACCTATTCTACAGGAGCATAACTATCACAAATATAAAGAGATAAAATGTCAGTCACACATATCCACTAGTACAGATCTGGTCATTTGCTACTGTTGTAAATGACATTTAGCTACTGTTGTACAACAGTCGCAGATACCAACGTCACAAAAAGTCTCGGACATTACGCGACTATTGTGGAACAGTGGCGAATTGGGTATTAATTCGCGACTGTTCTTGATGTCAAACAGTCGCGGATTATATTTTTATTTATTTTTCATTTTCTTTATTCAGTGGTCATCCGCGACTGTTTTATGATAGAAATAGTCGCGGAATGTTTTCGTTTTAATATATATCCGCGACTGTTCTAGAGGAAGAACAGTCGCGGATTTTTTTTAATTTTAATTATTTAATTTATTTTTGTTAAATCCACTATTTTTTTTTAAAAATAATTCTTGTACCTGTTACAGTTAAAAGTCCTACACAACACAATTTATCTATCAATACACTACTTTATATCACCACATTTTAATATCATAGAACCACAATACTTTTAACACAAAACAATCATCAATACTTTAACAAAATGCACTTGAACACAATACTATCATCAAAACACAATACTACTTTATATCCTCGATTACACTTTAATATAATAATATCATCAAAACATGCACAAAACAATACTATCATCAAAACAAAACTATTTATCAATAAAACAAAAGTTACACGCACTCCGAAAAGAAGTATTTTGCCCATTGCTCCCGAATCTCATTTATGTCATTGATGGAGTACGGACTATCGCTTTCAAATGCCTACAAAAAAATTTAAGTAATCAAATTTATGTTAATTAATAAAATATAACTTAACTGTACTATACATAGTTGAATTTAAATTCACTTACCTTATCCAAATCATCAATAGATGAATATTTTGTCACGATACCAAACGTGTATCGCATGACATAATATCCACACTCATAATCTCCAGGTTGTATCGGGCACTACAAAATACATATATATATTATTAATTTAAGCAATTTATTGTTATTCATATTATCACACTAATTAAAACTTAAATTCAATTTCTATACATACTATGCATGAAACCATTGGTTAGTTTGATGATAACCATTGGCTTCCTCGACTATTGTGTCATTGCCACATTCAGAATAACCATTGGTTAGTTTGAGACATGAAACAGTGCCAATTTCTTTAAATTTTATCACATGAATGAATGCACATGACAAGACATTGGAAGTTAATCCAATAGAAGATGGTAGAGTCTTCTATATTACTATCAAGAAAAGATGATAACTACACCAATCTTAGGTTTATAACAAAGCCTGGCGGATGGTAAATTTTAGAATCACTCTAGTGGATTAACTTCCAATGTCTTGGTTCTCTAAGATTTTTTTAAACCAATAACAATCCAAAGCAGGATATGTGGGCTGCTCTGAAGCTTATGTTGAATGGAAACTGATTCTGCTTCAGAATATAATGCGATTTTTCAATAAACATTAGGTGCTGGGCAGTGTAAAATCACTTTGAATGTAAATACATGCCTGGTAAATTTTCCCAGTAGTTATATTGTTGTCCCGCGTCAGCTTATTATCTATGAATGCTCATAGTTCCCAAGATCTAGATCTACCTAAAAGAAACACCAAGTCAAAGTTAAGTTGACATCAAAGAAAAAACATTACTTTAAAATCCCTCCAGTTAATTTCCCTATACAAGGAAGCAGAAAACAGAATGTATAACTATTGACCAGTAACTGCACCAGAAAAAGAAGAGATTGATATGAACTCATGTTTTAACTACACTACAAAAACAATTTTAATAGTGTCAATTTGACAAAAGCCTTATATAATAGCCCAGATTCTCATTAATAATCTTGGTAGGATAAACTGTAATAATGAGTGGTGATAATCTTGGTAGGATAAACTGTAATAATGTTACCCCTACCAGAGGTTTCCATTTCATATATGCATGCATGTACTTTAATTATATTCTGCTTATCTTAACTTGTGAGGCAGCTAGCATTCACTGCACTGAAATGAAATAGAATAATGTAAAAGATAAAAGCAGATAGATGAGATCCCATTGCAGATTGCACAAGAACAGAATTGAAGCTTGGCTTGGCTTGCCCCTTCACTTTTCATTCCTGATAGATCCTTAAAGCTAAGGGCTTTAAGTATAGTATCTGATTTTGCCATTTCATTTGCTGAACACCACAACTCTTTTACACCTCAAAAGCCTTCATTCATCAACAAATGAGTTCATATCAATCTCTTCTTTTTTCTTACCTTTTTCTCAACTCTTATTACTATGAATTTAATAATAATTATTACTATTATTATTATTATTATTATAATACCCCTTGAAGAAGCAAAAGGCCAAAAAGGCAACCTGAAATAGAGAAGTAAAGAAAAACCAAGGATGACTAGAAATATAAAATCAACCAACTCTCATCACTAGAACTATCCTCTAAAAGAATGATTGTCATGTGAAATAGATAGAAGGGTTTGATGGAATGGACTGGCCTAAGGAAGTGAAATAGATAGAAGGGTTTGATGGAATGGACTGGCCTAAGGAAGTGCATAAGAAATTACCTACAATATGTCAAACTAAGAAATGGTCCCCATGTGTTTAAAACTACTCACTGTTTTTTTTTTCTTTTTTTTTTTTTCCTGTAATGTAAGGTCTTTTTTACTGCATTTCTATTCATAAACAATGGAATTCTCAGGTTTTGTAATTTTTGACACACAAGCATACTTAAGATTGTACCATGTACTCACGAAGACACCAAGACACCTTCACCTTGAAGGTGTAGTGCAAAGTACTACTTATATGTCCAATTCTGTAGTAGTGTAAACTCCTAGGATCTTCAACATCAATCTTCAATCTTCCACCTACCTGCAAAACAATTAAATGGCTTGATCTCTACATATGTAGATCCACCAAACAAAAGCTGCACAATATTTCTACTGCCAGTACCCTCAACAAGCTGTAACCCTCAGAGACTGCCCAGCTAGCAGCCCATCATTGGGTTAAAGTATCCGAGTGCCATGATGAAGGTCTCAGCTGGACAGCTTCATAAACCAAACATCCTAATCCTAGCAAACAAGCCTCAGCTTCTCAGTTTTCTAGGCAAGTTCACCAAGTTCTTTTACCCCTCAAGATTGCCAAGCCAAACAACCTATCATTGGGGTTTATTATTACTTTAACATTAAATACAACACCCCTCAACTGAATATCCTTAGGGTGTTCTTCCAATAACCAAAACTATCCACCTAACTTATATCCCCCTCATATCCATTTTTCAACTCACTTCCTATTCATTCTTTTTTTCACTCAGATTTTTAAACTGACCTCCTTATAACACCTTTTCTTTTCATCATCTTTTTTCCAAATGGCCAACAAAGAGACCCTTTTCAGGGCAGCTTTATGGACTTATCTTAAAAAATGAATAAATACAGTTAATATTCCGTAGAAACATAAAGTTAATATTCACGGATCAATCTACAGTTTGGTTTTAATAACACTAGTTAGATGAAGTTTATTAACAAAACTCTACAGTCTTCAGAGACTATAGGCTGGATCAATGGAAAATCACAAGAACACCTCAAATTGACATGGATTTAAACAAACTGGGATCTAATAAAAAGCAATTATGCATAAAGAAACACACTTGAGAGATAGAAATGCACTCACCAAGCATATACCAAAAAGGGCTCTAGTATTTTTGCCACCAGTTAAGTCTACAGTTGATGCATAATATTTCTTGGCTGTCTGAAGATTTTCTTGTCCACCTAGCGTATATAGAATCTGGTTCAGCCAAAAAGAGTCCACTCAACATTTAATTACATGGTTTAAGGAGGGGAAAACATCAAGTTCTATAGTGATTTATAATATCAGAGCAATTTATCTTCATAGAATCTGTTAAATAGGGAATTGGAAGAAGAGAAAGAAAGGCATGTCTAAGAACAAACACTTTGCACATCTAGATTATTATCTCCGTGAAGAACAAACTAACCTGGTTATTGCAGATGGACGGTGGCTGTGGCAAGCGGAGACGGTGACGGCGGCTGTGGCGAGCGGAGACGGTGACAGCGGCTGTGGTGACCGGAGACAGTGACAGACTGACAGTGGTTATGGCGGGCGGAGGCAGTGACGGTCGTCGCGTCCGCACCTGTGGCGGAGGAAAGGGCGTTCAGCGGATGTGGAGGCGTTCGCCGTTGAAGATGGCTGCGGCGGCGTTCGCCGTTGAAGATGGCTGTGGCGGCGTTCGCCGTTCGCGGGAGGAGCTGAGATCGAAAGTTTTTAATTTTCAATTCATTCGATTTGTTATTGTTGCATAAGGTGTAGGGGTAGGGTTTTTTTTTATTGTTTTTTGAAATGAATTTTAATTATTTTTTTTAAAAATAAATTCCGCCACTGTTTCAAAGAGAAACGGTGGCGTTTTATTTTTCTATTTCGCCACTGTTTTAACTAGAAACAGTAGCAAAATATTAAAGCGTTATTTCAATTATTACGAAATTGCCACCGCGAATTTTTGAATTAAGAATACACTACTGTTTTTTTTAAAACAGTAGCTAAATGCCAGTCTCCTATGCCCTGTTTTGTACTAGTGATCCTTAACACGCCCCCCGCAAGATTGAGGATCCGTCGGAGACTCCAATCTTGGAACGGAATAGAAGAAACAAAGAGCGGCCCAACGGCTTTGTGAGGAAGTCAGCTAGCTGAGCCGACGAAGGAATGTGTCGCACCACCAGTGAACCATTAGAGACTAAGTCACGAACAAAGAAGTAATCCAGCGCCAGATGCTTCATAAGTGAATGGAAAACTGAATTTCTGCACACATATGTATGTCACACTAAGGTTGTCACAGAACACAACTGGGGGTTTCACTAGTTGCACCCACAACTCGTGTAGCAAATTCTTTATCCACAAGACTTCTATCGCGACATTCGCCAAGGCTCGATATTCAGATTCTGTCGATGAGCGTGACACGGACTTCTGGCGGGTGGACTTCCAAGAAACGAGATTAGCACCAAGATACAACAAGTATGCGGTGGTGGAACGGCTATCGGTAGTGCAACCGCCCCAATCAGCATCTGTATAAACACTCAGTGACAGTGGTTGCCTAGTGCGGAGAAACAACCCATGACAAACCGTTCCCTTTAGATAACGTAGCAACCGTTTGGCAGCCTGCCAGTGCAGCTCTGTCGGTGAATGCATGAACTGCGAGAGACGATTAACTGCATAGGATACATCAGGCCTAGTGATGACCAAGTACTGCAACGCACCAAGGAGACGCCGAAACTGAGTAACATCCACCGCAACACTACTAGACTGCGCAGGTAGCAATTTGTCTGTAGTAGCCAATGGTGTCGAAACAGCCTTTGCACCATCCATCTTAAACCGAACCAGAAGATCTGTGATATATTGACTCTGAGACAGGAACATGCCATTAAGAGTCGAGACCACTTCAATGCCCAAGAAATGATGCAAGGGACTAAGGTCCTTAAGAGCAAACTGAGCTGACAGAGTTCCAACAAACTTGTCAAGCCACACAGCATTGTTTCCTGTTAGTATAATATCATCGACATACACCAGGAAATAAACAATAATATCATTAGCAGAATAAACAAACAAAGACGCATCTGCCTGTGACTTCAAAAACCCACAACGCAACAAGAACTGGGAAAGTTCTAAGTACCAAGCCATGGGAGCTTGTTTAAGACCATATAAGGCTTTGGTCAGTTTGCATACATGAGCTGGAAAGGACGGATCAACAAACCCGGGAGGCTACTCCATAAACACCTCCTCGTGCAATGTTCCATTAAGGAACACATTATTGATATCTAGCTGGCGCAAACCCCAGCGATTACTCAAAGCAATGGTCAGAACAATACGGACCGTGACCGGTTTCATAACTGGACTGTGTCTCAAAATAATCCCGGCCAGCAGTCTGCAAGAACCCCTTAGCGACAATCCGCGCTTTAAAACGATCAACCAACGGTTTGCGCTTAACACAGAAGACTCATTTGCAGCCAATCAGAACAGCCGCTCCGCGGGGAACCAGTTGCCACGTGTTGTTACGCTGCAGCGCTTCGAACTCCTCATCCATTGCTTTCCTCCACCGAGCATCTTTAAGAGCCTGGGCAACGGTAGAAGGTTCTAAAGCAGGAGGCAAGGGATGGGAAGTGGCTTGGTTAATGACATAATCGGAATACCTAGAATTAGGACGACGCTCCCCGGTAGAATGACGAACATTATGCAACGGTTGAGATGTGTCGGAGGTGGAGACAGGTTGTGAGTCAGACACGGATTGGGCTGCATGGTGACCATTTTCTGAGACAATGGGAGACGATGAATTGGACGCAGCTGACGGTGATGGTGTTGGAACTGGTTTCGGAACCGGAATTGGAACTGGACTTGGAATTGGAGTTGGAATTGGACTCTGAACTGGAGTTGGAGCTGGTGTTGGAATGGGTGTTGGAACTGGTGTTGGAACACCCACGGGTTCTACCTGTGTAGACAAAGGAGACGACTTGCACAAAATATTGCGTGATTTTGAATCATGAGAATTAGAAGGTAGGCTGTTAGATGACTTTTGCAAATAGTTATAAGGAAACACATGGGGCACAAATCTAACATGCCTAGATACATAAATACGATTTGAACCAAAATCTAGACACTTATAACCGGATTGGGTGTTTGAGTAGCCAAAGAAAATACATGGACGTGACTTTGGTTGTAGTTTCTTGGTGTTATAGGGACACAACCAGGGAAAATAGGCAACCAAAGGGTTTTAACTTGGCATAATTAGGCAATTGTTGAAACAAGACATAAAACGGGGATTGATTACCTAAAGTCAGAGTAGGGAGCCGGTTAATAAGATATACGGGTGTCTGAAAGGCGTAGGTCCAGTATGAGGATGTCAAAGACGCGGAATGAATAAGAGACATGCCAGTTTCCACGACATGCCTGTGTCGTCGCTCGGCGACACCATTGAGCTCAGGAGTGTGTGGCGGGGTGGTGAAATGAGAGGTACCGTGAATATTAAAAAACGGCCAAAGTCTCATGAACTCGCCCCCATTATCTGAGTAAACAGAAATAATTGACAGGCTAAAATATTTTTCCACTAGCTGCTTGAACTGAATAAATATTGTAAACACATCTGATTTACGTTTCATGGGGTACAGCCAAATATACATTGAGAAGTGGTCTACAAAAATGACATAATAGCGAAATTCATCAATAGAGTTCTCAGTAGGTCCACACACATCAGTATAAACAAGTTGCAAAGATTTAGTGCTACCAACTGTATTTTTAGAAAAAAGGCAGTTTATGGCTTTTATGAACATTGCAAGAGGAACAATATTGGTCCCAAAAGAGGTAAGGTGAAAGTCTAGAGGGGGGGGGGGGGGGGGGGGTGAATAGAATTTCAAACCTTTTAGCACAGTACAACAATTGCTAAGGCAACAGAGAAACCGAGACTCTTAACTAGATTGTTAGAGTCCGGTGCACAGCGGAAATAATAAACGATACGATGTGTGTGTATATTGTGTCAAGATTATTCTCGTGAGAAGCAAGCAAGAGCAGTAAGTAAAGAAAGCGGTAAAGAACACAAGGCAATTTATAGTGGTTCGGAGGTGGTGTAATCTTCCTACTCCACTTGCTCTTATCTTCCAAGAGTAATTCACTATCCACCACTTCTTGGTTCCAAGATACAATGAATTCCGTGATCTAGTGCTTTGATCACCAAGCCCACACTAATCACGCCCAGTGCCACCAACATTGCTACTTCGGGTTTCACATCGCTGCGTTACTTTCCCAAGATTTCACGACTCCGCGTTACTTTATCCCCGTCATCTACGCTCCGGTAGAAACGCTCCTTCCGTGATCTAGTGCTTTGATCACAAAGCCCGCACTAATCACACCCAATGTCTTCTGACACTGCTGCTTTGGATCTCACAACACCGTGTGACAATCCAGGATTTCACAACTCCGTGTTACTTTCCTCCTTTCCCTTGTTTTGCTCCAAAACAAGTTTTGCGTTGCTTTCAACTTTGAGACTCTGTAGTTGATCTTCAATGATGCGCTTAGTCTTTTGTAGTTGATGAAGATTTTAACACTATTGGATATTTCTTTTGTAAGCTCTGTATCACTCTTGATAGTTTATCTCACAAAGAATATATCAATTTAAGCTCTTGAGATGGAAAGCTTTCTTTGGATTTCGTATGCTCTGTTTAGCTCTGCTCTTTGTATTCTTTGTATACTTGCTTCTGCTTTCCACTACTTCAATCTTCATCCTTTTATAGCTGGTAATGAGAATCTGTCCGTTGGAAAGAAACGTTCTCATTTTTGAATTTCATCTAGCTGTATAGCCTTTTTAGAGGATAAGATAACGTTGCAGATATGTCAGAGATTCTCTGCAAGTTGAGCTTGAGGTTTTTGCAAAAATGGTGTCTCCTTCTTCTTGTATTTTCCTCTGTACTTCACGTTGAGCTTGAGGTTTTCACAAAAATGGCGTCTCCTTCTTCTTGTATTTTCCTCTGTACTTCACGTCTACTGCTTCCAGACTTCATCTTCTAAATTTATATATCTTGAATTATCTTGAATTGAATTGAACTCCCTTGCTATTTATATATCTTGAATTGAATTGAACCCTTGCTATTTATATCTTGAATTGAATTGAAGCCCATCAAATTGAAACTTCTAAATTTATATATCTTGAATTATCTTGAATTGAATTGAACTCCCTTGCTATTTATATCTTGAATTGAATTGAAGCCCATCAAATTGAAACTTCTGCCACATGTGAACTTCAACTGCTTCCCTTCGACCAAACCAATTGAAATTGCATCCCTATTTTAATTTTGAAATCTCATCCCTATTCCCTATTCCAATTGAAATTGCATCCCTATTTTAATTTTGAAATCTCATCCCTATTTTAATTTTGAGATACTTCATCCCATCCCTTCACTTTGGAAATCTCATCCCCAAACTTTGGGGACTGCTATCCCTTCACTTTGGAAATCTCATCCCCAAAATACTTCATCCCATCCCTTCACTTTGGAAATCTCATCCCCAAACTTTGGGGACTGCTATCCCTTCACTTTGGAAATCTCATCCCTAAACTTTGGGGACTGCTCCCCTTCGACCAAACCATTGCCCATACTTCATCTGATGGATTTAAACTTGACTTCTTTAAAATATGTAGGTTGTGAGATTCAAACCTGTGACCTTGCGTATAATATTTCAAGCTTTTACCAACTCATCCATACAACCTTTTAGTCATCATTTTGTTTCACTTGGTGTACTCCTTTCTTTCTATAGATGCTTGATCTTCAAGATAGCTTCATGCAAACTTCAAGTCACGTTCTTTCTTCTTCGGGATTTCTTGAGGGATTTCTTCTTGAATTTCTTTGAGAGATTTCTTATTGAATATCTCTGAGAGATTTCTTCTTGAATATCTTTGAGAGATTTCTTCTTCGGATGATAGTCTTCATAACTTGTGTACATTTCTTCATACGCATACATCTTCCTCTTCTGTTTGCCATTTTCACTAGGCAAATTCTTGATTTTAGGCTTTATATCTTCTTCATCCATTTCCTCAACTAATGAATTTATTTTTCCCTTTCTTGGTCTATGACTCAACTAGTCTAACCAAAATAAAATTGGGGTTCTACGATTTACAATATGGCATATCAAAATTTATTACAATTTATTCCTAACAATTTCCCCCCTTTTGATAATGCCATAACTTATACTCAAACATTGGCTTTAAGTCTTTGAAAAATAATTTCAATTTGTGCTCAATTTTATTTTGACAAAGCCAAGATGAGTTTGACAAAATTAATTCTAGGGAAAATACTTGTGAATTAATTTCAGACAAGTCCTATACGCGTCCTTGATTAATTTTTAATCAATTTTTATCTTTTCAATTTTCAATTTTGCATGCGTTTGACAACTCTTGTCTTTTAATTCACGAACTAATACATGATAGCCAAAATAAATCAAAACAGACTTAGATCAGACCAAGGGAAATATTTATTCATATTAGTCGATACAGGAAATTTTATTATAGCCAAAATCATTCCAAAATATAAATATTCAAAACACCATATTTTTGAGGAGTTCATATCTGAATACCTTCTGGGTTACTTAACTCCCATGTCAGCTTTCAATATGTCCTTGATATGTTCTCTCATCTTGCAGATGTCATTTTTGAACTTTTCACATTCAAATCTCTTGGTCACATTTCCACCCATGTAGTGTCCAAAGGCATCTTTAATGTTGGTGCCCGGAAGAACTCCGGGTTCCCACCAAACTATGCATTCTTCAAAGCTTCTTTGGAATCCCAAACTTTCACCATTATTGTTGGTATGATCTCTAAGCTCGTACCACATCTCGGTTCGCTTCCTTTTCGCTTCTTCTTCATTATTCTTGTCAGATATCCATTGAGCTTGATCAACTTTGGGCCATCTTTTCACCATACTTGGCACATTCTCGGATGTCCAGATTTTTTGCGGTGTTACGGTTCCTTTTGAGCATTCGAACCAGCCTCGAGTTTCAGCAACTTTCGATGAGCTTGATCTAAGACTCGGATTTGCAAACTGAGCGAAACCAACTTGGGATTGTTGACCACGTCCTCGGCCACGGCCTTTTGTTGGTGCGGCGGTCAAAACTGGCTGTTGTGGTTGACTTCCAAGGATGAATTCCTGTTGTTGTAAAGACAGATGGTTGAGAATTTCTTCCCCCTTTATGGCATTATCAATCAAAAAGCCAAGGGATTTGGAATCTTGTTCTTGATTGGCTTTAACAAGCTTAACACCATCATGTGTTTTGAGAGAAACATCCTGCAAATCAGATAGTTTATTAGCCATAGAGGACAATTCCACCTCAAGGTGATTTATCCTTGTCTCTTGGTCTTGTATGGCCTTTATTTTTCTCAAGTGTCTTTCATTGTTGATCTTCTCGGTAGCTTCTCGTTCCTTCTTCATGAGTTGGATTATCTCCAATAATCATTCGGTGAGATCTCCTTTCAGATGTCTTTCGGCTCTATCTATTCTCGTTTGCAGAGCATTTTGATGTTCCAATAGCTCCTTCAAATTGGTTCGTGTGTCCTCAAAATGTTGCAAAGAGAGATGTCCTTGATCGGTAAGAGTAGTTCCAATCTTTTGACACACAACATCACTTGTCTCTGTAACTTTTGAAAATAGTGATGTTAACAGATCTTCTTCATCTTCTTCACGGCTTCGGCTTCCACTCATGTTCAGGGAGTGCAAAGATTTGAACTAATTTCTTCGTGAATCAGGTAGAACTGGTTTTTCAACAAGTTGCATATTTCCTTCAGGTGAATCGGCTTCTTAATGTTGATTTCCCGTCTCTTCTTCTGCAATGATCTCTGTTCTTGAAATAACCTCTATATTTAAATTGACTTCCAGAGAGTTGTTTTGATGTGACATCACAGAGTTGTTAACATGCACTGGCGCTTCATACAAACATTCCCCCCCAATTGATGGTCTAATTTCACCATCAATTTTGTCCCTTACTTCATCCCTTGTAGGGTCCATTCCATTTATATCAATATTGGTGGGGGTCACTTTAGATATCAAAAGTTCAGCACAGTGAACTCTGACAAGAATAAAATCATGATTTTCAGAGGCTGAAATTGGTACCTCAACAAGTGTACTTCCTTCATTCGCCCTTTCACCAAAATTTTCAAGAAAATCATTGGCTATATTAATTGAAGTATCACCTGGATGTCGATGAGTGTCATTCAAAGATCTGTGTAGAGCAATCTGTAGTCTTACTTCATTCTCCTTTTCAAAATTATCAGAAGGGACTTGAGTGACATTTTCTTGAAGATCTGTGTAGAGAATTCTGTAGTCTTATTTCATTCTCCTTTTCAAAATTATCAGAAGGGACTTGAGTGACATTTTCTTGTGCTGCTGCGGCCACTCGTTTTCCTTTACTATTCTTCACTTGAAGCTTCAGTCCATAAATTTGATTTGCATCCATGTTTAGTGCTTCGAGCATTGAGTCAGTTCCAAGCCATTCAAAGGCAAATTCTTCACTTCGTATCAATTCTGAGTCAACTTTTGAGATAAAAGAATGATATCTTTCAAGTCTCCATTCCTTCCATGCTTGAACTCGGTTTAATTCCTTCATCAGGTCTGGATCATCTCGAGTTTGTGTTGTATCGAACACTATGGGTTCAACACTAGCTTCAACTGCAGATTGACTCGAGATTCTCCTTTGCAAGTCATTTGAAACTTGCACTTCAACTCTTGCAAACTCCATCCGGGTGGTATCTTCTTCAGTTGGCATCACGGGTATGTCCACTTCATGAGCTTTAGACTCTGCCACTTCTTGATATGGAATAAGTGCTATAGCCGAGCTTACGGCTTCTTGATCTCTGTTGCTGGGATTTCTAGAACCCATATGAGCACATGCAGCTGATACGGTTCTACTGTTCCTTTTTCGAGAGCTTTGTGGTGTGCTTGTGGAACCATCTCCTTCAGATCATTTCCTTCAGTTTGATTTCTTGCCATAGTCGGGTCCAAATTTTCTGAAAAGTGTTCTGTAGATTCCAACACTTTTGTGTCTTCTAAGAGACACATTCTTCTTTCTTAGAATTTCTCCAACAATAAGTCCATACCCAACTTTATGAAGAAAGTGATTTCCTTCAAGTGGTCTACCATGAGGTTTTGCACTGTTCACAAAGAATAATAGGCGATTGAAGATGTACTTAGCCAAGTTGAATTTTATTCCTTGCATGATTCCGTTCATCAGACTTATGGATGTTCCAGATAGATTGTCCACACTTCCAAGTTTGTTGTCAAGGATATTGTACATCATCTCGATAAGCATATCGTACTCAGGTTTCAACACGTTCTTTGGCTCAGTCAAGCCATGAGCACAGGTGCTTTTGGACCACGAATTTCATCCCAGGAAGATTGAACATCATAATGGTGAGCTTCTGGCATCAACTCTAAATAAGGGAATTTGAAGCAATCCTTGATGTCCTTTTCAGAAATTTGAACATCTGTTCTTCCAACTTTAGAATGAATCACGTTGTCCTTCACAGTGGCATGAAGATATAACTCGGTCACATCTATTTCAAAAGCTCCAGCATATTTGTAGGTGAAGAAATCATATAGTCCACAATCCTTCAAAGCATTGGGAATCTTTTTTGCTGTTTCCTTATTGACTGCTCCAATCATGAAAAACTCCGGATTGAGTGTCATCCTATCAATCAGTTGTTGTTGTAGAATAAGTAGATTTTTGGGTTGCATGGCTTCGGTTCCAGACATGGTGTTCGCCGGTGATATTGAGAGCTTGAGAGAGAGATTTTTGATCTTGGTAGAACTTGAATTTTTGTCTGAGAGGAATACGAAGGGTTTCGTATGGTTTAAGAAGGATTTAAGATGAGGTATAATTCTCAGATAGAAATCTCAATTGAGACCCTTAGAATAGGTGTGGTGACAAGGTATATTTAGGGGTGGAGGTGTCTTTTGGTTAAGGTGTCACTTGGAAAGAGAAGAGGGTTATCATTAGTAGACAAGAGCATTAAATGCCTCACAGTCTCTTAGGTACCCTATATACATAAGGTGTATAGAGTAAGGAGATTATGAATTGACACCTCTGATTTTTCTTGAAGATTTGAGAAAGAGTATGGATTTGGGAGGAGATTTTTCGGGAGAGGGGATCTGATTTACGAGAGAGAGGGTCAGATTTTTGTGGGATTAATTATGGGTGGAAGTTTAAGGGGTGTGGGTTTTGAGAGGTGGAGAGTTTTAATGGGATTGGGTTTTAGGGGTAGAGGTTTAGAGGGAGGAGGTTTCAATCCAATCTGATCTATTCCTTTTTCTTCTCAAAAACACGTACATATCATATTCAAACACATAATTTCACATAAATATGATCACACAAATTACACAAATTTTCGTAAATCTCACATGCAATTTCGAAACATATATGTAATTTTAAATTTTAGCAATTAAATCACATCCATATATAATTATGCATATACACGGTAACTCCCAATTAAAATAAACACAAATTTTAGTAACTAATCAAATTTCAATTAAATCACCATGAATATACATACATACATATGGTAGATTCTAAGACATATATATGTAAACAAATTTCTTAAACACATAAGCAATTATTTGGAAACCAAAAAATTATTTTAATCACCAAAAAAAAAATTAGCACATAAATATGCAAATTATAAACCACATTTCGCAAATAGTCAAGTGACAAAAAAAAAAAAAATAAAGTGTTCATGCAAACAAATTAACACAAACATGAACATAACTTGCGGTCCAAGTAACTATTAAAACATGCAATTCAAAAACAAATCAGATCAAATAAAACTGCACATTTTGTCAGATTAATTTGCATGGCATATAAAATCACGTTAAACACCACATGCAAATTCATAATTAAAAACTTAACACATTTAGCAAATTAGTTTACACAGACATTAAGTACATAGAAATATGCAAACACGCAAAACATATAAAAGCATATAAACACGTAAAACACATAATTTGAGCATATGTATCATTTTAGATGAAGAGATTAAGTTCAGTGATACTTAGCTCATTTCCAACATTCCCAATTCCTGCCTTAAAGTAGCAAATCTCGTTTCGCATAAAGGCTTCGTGAGAATATCTGCAACTTGGTTCTCCGTAGGGATATACTTGATTTTTAGATCTTTCTTTTCAACATGATCCCTTATGAAATGATGTCGTATGTCGATATGTTTGGTTCTTGAGTGAAGCACCGGATTGTGAGTGATGGCGATTGCACTTGTGTATTGCATGCTAGTTGAATCGGTAACCCGTTGGCCTAGGAGGAAGATGTATGAACCCCTTAGGACTATTCTTAGTATGTGGATAATCATGCATAAGTTTATTTATACGCTTTCCCACTTCCCAATGTGCCAATATGTGTTTACTATGTGTTACGTGAGCATGATACCCTAATTTGGTTGCGATCAAATTGTTTATACACGAGCTGCGGTTCGTTATCTTAGCTGCGGTCAAACTGGTTACTCATGAGCTGCGATTCATTCTCCTGGCTGCGGTCAGTGACTCACTTCTAGGGCTGTGGTCCACATGGGCCTTTGTGCTATGGTCCACCGACTGGACGCGCCAGGCGGTGTGCAGGGCCACTAGCCCGAGGAAGGCCATAGTCCACCGAATGAGTTTCAAGGTGGTGTGTAGGTGTAACACCCCGAAATTTTTAAACTTTTGAAACTTATATAATAAAGGTAAATTCTCATTAAATCCCAAAACATAATAAAAGAGTTCGGGGTGCTAGGCCACACCTGAGCTGGAGAACTCAGATGCACAGGCTCACTAACTAAAATCCTCAACAGTATCAATACATAAGTATGGCACGCAGGTCGAAAGGGAAACTATCTACTCTACGCTTCGGATCTCTAGCGCGCTCCAGTGTCTACTCGTCAGTGCCTGAAAGCCAAATATATCTGTTCAGCGAGAGATGCTGGTAACCCACTCCAACGCGTTGAAATACAATACATATAGGCATACATATAGATATATGAAAAACCATTTTGAAGCATGAAGATATATCCTAAGAGACTCTAGCTTTAAAAACAGGGAATAGACTCGACGGACAGAGATAAGCACAGTCAACAGTCATAACCAAGCATAAACAATTCACTAGCATAGGGAACAGACTCGACAGGCAGAGATAAGCACAGCCAATAGTCATAACCAAACATATACAGTTTACTAGCATGTATCCTATGGTCACGCTTTCATACATTCATAACATCAAACCATCCATATCTCATCACATAGCACACTTTGATGGCGCCACAGGACCAATCTCATGCCCATACATGAGGGTCAGCGCATATAGCTCTGACACAGTCCCGCAGCACCCTGCCTCGTATCGCAACACGAAGGGGTCGATCGCAACCGATCGATGAACCGCAGCTCATCATAATGTTTGATCGCAACCAAACAGTGGACCGCAGCCCAAGAGTAGTCATCTGACCGCAGCCAGGAATATGAACCGCAGCTCATGTAAAACGTTTGAAATGTCCAGATTTGCGACAATTGTAGCATAAATTGTTGTTTTCTTCGACTTTTTCTTCTTGTGTCGTGCGAGAGACAAATTTTCCACGAGCAGAATTTTTGTTGTCTCCATTTCGCATGAACCTTTTGAATTTTCTAACAAAGAGAGCAAATTGTTCGTCAGTCATAAAATCAACATTATTTTCTACTGACCTGGAGGTTGACGGTTGTTCGGCCATTAGAGCTGGATTTCGAATTTCATGAACATCATCATCTTTGGCCTTCATTTCGAACTCATATGCTTTAAGATCACTAAATAATTTGTCGGTTGACAATATTCTTAGATCTCGGTGATCTCTCATAGCCGTAACCTTCATATCCCATGTAGATGGTAAGCCTCGTAGAACTTAGAGATTAATTTCCTTTTGGCTAATATTTTTTTCCAAGGTCATTAATTTCTCCAAGAATTTTAATCATTCGAGCTTTCATATTAACAATGGATTCGTTTGAGAGCATCTTGTAGTCCTCAAACTTCTTCATAGCAATAGTGAGCTTGTTATCTTTTTCTTGTTCATCTCCTTCTCCGATCTTGATGAGAGTATCCCAAATTTCTTTTGCACTTGTACATTTTCAAACTTTTGGGAAAATTGTAACACCCCCGATTTCCATACCAATTTAACTTGTTCATCTCCTTCTCCGATCTTGATGAGAGTATCCCAAATTTCTTTTTGCACTTGTACATTTTCAAACTTTTGGGAAAATTGTAACACCCCCAATTTCCATACCAATTTAAACCTTAAACATGCAGATAATTCTAACCATAAAACATACACAGCGGAAGACTAGATATGAAATAAATGGAAAACATAGAGTGTCGTGTCACGCTCACACAACGGTGAACGCATAGGCGTAAACATCTGCAACATAATCTATCAATCCCAAAAATAAAGTCAATGACATAACTTCTAAAGTCTAACCAAAGGCACGCAGACCCAAATCATCATAAAGAAAAAGGGAATCTATTCTAACAGCTTCTAGACCGCGCCCTCATCTAATCAACACCTGAAAGAAACACAGATATATATATATATATATATATATATATATATATATATATATATATATATATATATATATATATATATATATATATATATATATAGGACGACGCCCAGTCAGCGAGTGATGCTGGTAACCCACCAATACATGTGAAATATCATATATAGATAGTTATTATGTATACAAAATCATTTGCGAAACGGGATATTGTATATTTCAATTTCAAAAGCCAAGATAGAGATCAACACAAGACTCTACGAACTCACAATAAAGATAAGGGAACACATCTCAATACCACAAGAAGCAATAACGACTCACAAGAAC